GATATCTCTTTTCTGGACGTACTGACCACAATGGATGCAATCGCGCAGGGCTGGTGGCTCATCCAGCGAGACTATCAGCCTTGCGCGAGCATGAGATGGCCGTACAGCAAAAGCAGGTTGCTGGAGTGACCGCGGCATATTCGTTCGTTTGCTCTCAGGACGTGTTACGGTTTTCTCTGCTCGGTTTCCTCGCACGCAAATCAAACGTGCGCGCCAATGGATCTTTGCCCAAATATTCCGACGAAGGACTCTCCTGCAGAAATAAAAGTCCTGAAATTGAGCGAGGCTTTTTCCTTGATTAACAAGAAAAAACCACAAAACAAAACGATTTTATATACGAACTTAAGATCCAATCCAGCCCCCCCGCCCCCGCCCCTATGTAGGGAACAGATCCTCATTATGTCACACGCATCGTGTCAGGGCATTCACCGACTCTCTTCGAGGGCCTCTATGGTTACCCAGCCGCTAGATGGCATTCCCTGTAGCCGCAATTTGCCCTGCTCCCCAGCTCGTAAATAAATCATCATAAACGGCCTTAACCAATACGGGCACAAAATCAATGGTTTACTTATTTTAATGACGGTTCTTTTTTAAACCGTCATTGATAACTGGACTAAGACCGTCATCAAACCGGCTACACTTGAACTGGTTTAATCACAGATGGGAGGGTGGGATTTGAAAGGATCTAAAGCGGCCACTGGCTCGGTGCTCTGACATGGCCATTATGAGTCCCCTGAGCCGTTCACCCATCTCCATCATCTATTTATTTATAACAATTGTTTTTTTTTATCGGCAAAGACGTTACGATACGAGGCAACGTCATTTTTTTAAAATTTAGAAGTCTCACGGGCAAGCGGTGCACCGACCTGTTGTTCCCCGTGTCAGAAACTCTCCCCCTGGAAGTAGATGCCACATAACTACTTCTGAATCCACTTCATGGGGCCTCTTATCCACACTGGCCAGTGCACCCTTAAATTCCCCCTGCATAATATTGCGTTTGTCACATGGCAATCAAACCGAAATGTTAGGCCTCGAAGAAGAACCGTACCAAATTAAGCAACAAAACAAATCTAATTTACGGGATTATTGTTAAGTGTGGTCATTGCTAACCGGCTTGAGACCACCGACTCGCTGCGCTTTACGGTGTAATCACTCGTGGCGGTATGAAATTTAACTCACGATCTCTCAGCTGTGCGCGCTGACACGGCCATCGTGAGCCCCGAGCCACCAAGACACCTCCCAGTCGCCCGTATTTTATTTTCAAATTCAAAGTACAAACAGCCATGCACAAATCACAGTTGGGGGGGAGAGCAGGCAAAGTGCCTGCAATGATAATTATTACCTTTCAAAAAATCAAACATTCAATTAGCCAATCACTGGTGAAAGCTGCATGCGTTTATCTCAAGTAATCAAACAGATATCATTAATAACCAATTACTGACCATGGTAATCAAACACAAACACTACATTTCTTTTTTTAATCTTTAAACCAACGTAGATACTAATTATTGGCCCAAAACAATCAAATTTACAGCACTTCACCTGATTAATGGCAGTGGTTTTTTATTTTTATTACGGCCATATTGCCCGGCGTGTACTCCCAGAATGCATTGCCGCAAGAATGTTTTAGTTAGATTTGCAATCCTTAACTCAAAGCGGAGCCTGCTTATATCTTTATCGATTGGTGCCAGTTTTTGCAACAGGATGACCATGGATATCTTTGCACAAAGTGATAGTCTTGGATGAGGTGAGAATACCCACACTTCGCCGATCAACTGACTGCAGTCTACCCATCTATACTGCTGGGAGGGCAGAGGCGAGGGAAGGCAATTTTTTTTTGGAATAGACATTATGAATTCAGCTCACAAAACACATTAGTATCTGCGTCTTTTCTTTGGACTTTAAATTAAATTCAAAAGGGCAAATATTTTTTTAATCAGCTATCAAGTATTAGCAGCATGTCTGAAGTGTCCACTAAGTCCAATTCTTTTGAAATGAGGGAAATTGCTCATACCCAGACGAGCAGATGGGCAACAGCGGGCCAAGACTTAGTGGCACGCTAATCCCGTATACGGAAACGTCAGGCGGATACAAACTTTTAATAAAGTTGTTGCAACACTGTGGGGCTGACAGGGAGGACTTTTTATTATTATTATTTTCTTTCTAATCTTAATGGTAATGGCATCCTGTTTCGCATCCCTGTTACAATATCCCTGCATAAAAAATTGCGATTAGCTTTTATAACCCGCAGTGAGTGTCTAAGCCTGCCCCGATGCGCGTGCATTGTATGACAATTTGGCGATGGCCGCGTTACATTTTGGCCATCTTCGAATGAACTTAACCGTGCGAGTCGTATAAAAGCAACTTCCATGCTAACTAAACTCTACTCGGAATATTGATCCGGCATACATTCCTATGGCGGGTAGCCAGAATTTCCATAGGATAGCCTCCATCGACGTCCCACCAGTGATTGCGTCAGGTATTGGATCTAAGGGGACAATGAGCCGAGTCACCCCCTGATCGGGAATTGAATTCGCAACCGTCCAATTGTGAGCCTTGTTACGTCACGCAGTAAAACATGGCAACAGCGCATTAGGGATGCATGCGATGCCACTGCTCTCGGTTACAAGAGTGATGCTTAACCCTTTCCCGTTCTGATAACGTACGTATGTTTACGTCATCAATTGTTCTTCCAAAGGCGATGCGCCCCTATAAATAAAATGAACGCTGAGCCGCTTACGCGTTACGAGATTCAGCGGTGAACAGGATACCACCACCCACCCTGCAATTTGCAGATGTCTCGGAACGGGAAAGGGTTTAATGTCAAGAGACACAATTTCTGGGAGGCTCAACATGGACATGCGGTGAGCTGGAAGTCCCGCCCCCCCCCCCCCGGCTCCCCTCTTTCGGCCCCACCTACTTTTACATAGCCACGCCCACTCGATCACTAGCCCTACCCGCTCAGCCACGTGACATGTCTCTGCCAATAGGGTGCACGTGATTTGGATCGCGTGATTTTGTGCCTTTTGATTGCCGTCGGGTAATTCTGCAGGTGGCGTGGCTGCAAGCCGGGCATTTACGAGAAATAAATAAGATTACTGTGAAATCACTAAGTTACGTAAGTTGCTTATCATCACATGTATTATTTGCCTCTCTTATCGAACATTTCCATAAAAATAAAGAGAATGCCTTTATGCCACATGCATAAAAAAAAAACAAATCCGCCATGGTGGATTTAGCATCGCCACGTGCTGACCACGTGACCACGACCAGCCAATCAGAACGTTGTGTTACGGAGGGGGGGGGGGGGGGGCAACACATTTCAAAGCTTGGTTCCAACAAAGTTGCAGAGCAACGTGCAACTTCATGTCACAGAGCAACGTGCAACTTCATGTCACAGAGCAACGTGCAACTTCATGTCACAGAGCAACGTGCAACTTTATGTCACAGAGCAGCGTGCAACTTCATGTCACAGAGCAACGTGCAACTTCATGTCACAGAGCAACGTGCAACTTTATGTCACAGAGCAGCGTGCAACTTCATGTCACAGAGCAACGTGCAACTTCATGTCACGACGGTGTTGCCGTCGATTGTTGGATCGAACAAAAGGACATCGACATTAGTTTAAGGTAATAACAACTTTACATCTTGACTTAAAGCTTTCGTGACTGCAGGTATTCATATTGTTTGGGTCTTTCGGTAAAGTCACGTGGATAGGTTCAAAGAAAAATTAAAATAAACTACGACGTTTCGATCGCGACGCAAGCGGTCGTCATCAGGAAAAAGGAGGGGGCGGGACCGCGCTTGTGTTGGGATCGAAACGTCGTTTTTTTGTTATTTTTCTTTGAACCTATCTACGTGAGAATGTGGTAACAACTTTGTTGCTGTTGTTGTTGTTTTAATGTCGGATTAAGATGCCATCCCGTTTGCAAGCAGGGGAATAAAAAATCGCATGCATTCATTGCGTGCACGTGGTTTCTTTGTGTCGCAAATGTTCTGCTGTGCCACTTTCAAAAACATAGCCTTGTTGCTCCGTTATATTGGATACAAATGTTAAAAATAAGGGGATACGAAACTTATTTTATTGTAGAGTACTTGCAACAGCATAGTAGTGATTGGATGAAGTCGTGGAGAGTTTTAATTAGACAATTGGACGAGTAAATATTCTTTAAGGTAAATAACATGCCCAACATAGTTTTTTTTCTACACATTTCCTCGTGTAAACTTTATTATCCTAAATACCTTACCACTGTTTTAGTTTGATGGGCTGAACAGGCAATATTACCTCGCCTACATTTCTGCCTTGTTCAAGTTAGTTAATTTGGCTGGGTCGTCTGAAAACAAAAGTGACACAACTGAGGCGGTTTGTGTGGGCAGTTTAAAAGGAGGCTTTTACATAACATTGGAAAAAGCAACGGTCCAGAAATATGGCACCATTCTACTGCATGTGAACCAGGCCTTGACACCAAAGCACAGGGCCACCGTAACGTAACCCCTGTCGTTCCGCGAGGTGAATGCGCGCAGCCTCGCTTCCTTTGCGCATTTAAACGTGTTCAAACAAAACATACTTGCAGCAAATGAACCGTGGGAGTTTCATGTGCAAATCCTGACCCCGCCCCCCGACATCGCAACCGCACAAGCCAGCACACTAAACTCTGTACACGCGTTTTTTGTTGTTGTTGTTGTCGTCATCTTTACAAATTCTCAATTCTGGTGGACGGCCTCCGTTTGGCAGCGTACGCGTATTGTTCATTGCCGATTCTGCCGCCATCCTCGTCGTCGTCGCTGTCGCCCTCGCTGCTGTCGTCGCCGTGCCGCTCGCTTTTGACATCGTTCGGCCCGCCGCGCCACCACCCGTGCCGGCGCCACCGCTCGGGGTCGGGCAGCAGCGTGTCGACCCCCCACGGCTCCGTCGCGTCGGCCGCCGCCCGCCGCCACCACCACTGCTTCTCCGCCGCCGCCGCCGTCGCCGCGGCCGTCGTCGCCCCCTCCCCCCGCGCCTCTCGGCCGACGGGCCGTGCCGCTTCGTCGTCCTCGGCGTGCCGCGGGGCCCCCTCCGCCGTGGCGCTGCGCCGCTTCCTCCGCGGGGCGGCGCGGCCGCGCTCGCGACCGCGCTCGCGGCTGCGTCTCCGCCGCGCCGGCCCCGTCGCCTCAACCGAGTCCCTCCTGCTCCACGACGACGACGCCGTGGCCGACGCCGTGGCCGAAGACGTGACAGCACCGCCGGCCATGTTCCTCTGGTCGCCCGCGCTGGTCGACGTTCTTATCGCGGCCGTGCCCGCTGTGGCCCACGTGGCATAGCCGCTAGACGCGGTGTTCCGCAGCCCGCCGCCACCGCCGCCGTTCGTCACGATCAGGTTCCTGCTCCCGCTGCGTGCTGGGATCCTGCTCGTGCTGTTGCGTCTCTCGAACATGTAGTCACTCGTCCTGTTCAAGTTTAGCCGGTTGCCAAGTTGGTCACTGCCCCTGCCTTCGTTGCAACCGCTGACTTCTTTACCGCGGCCGTCCATCGATCTCCCCCTGTCGACGACGACGTCGCCGCTGTTTTTCCTCCTCCCGTCCATCGACCGTCCCCTATCGACACCGCCGCCGCCTCCGCCGCCGCCCTCTCGTCCCCGCCCGTCCGTCGACCTTCCCCTGCTGCGCGCGCCCCCACCGTCGCCCCTGGCGTCCCCGCCGGCCTCGCTTTTGAAACGCTCCGCCCCGGCGCCGGCCGCCGCGTGGTGGTGACGCACGGAGCTTGCCCGACGCTCACCCCAGGCTCGCTCGGGACTTTTGAGCCTCATGGACCCGCCCGACGAGCCCGCGCATACGGCCGCGTCCACCCTGAGCGTGTCGGTGGAGTTACAGCTGCGGCTCTCGGCCCAGCGCGGCCGAGTAAGAGTCGCGCTGGACCTGCGCGTCGGAGACGCCGGCCGCGCCGCCTTCGCGACCACGACGCCGCCGCCGCCGCCGCCGATGACGGAGCCGCCGCCACCGCCGCGCCGTGAGCCCCAACCGCAGGACACCATGATCTCCTCGGCGCTGCTGATACCGCCCCCGGCACCGCCCCTGTAGGAGCCGACCTCCCGGCTGCCCTCGTCGTCGAACTCATAGTCGACGTCGTTGAGGCTGCGCGCGCCCGTCGAGCGGCGCCGCTGCACGCTCACGTGAATTTTCCTGGCCCGCACTTCGTGCGGGTCGGCCAGGCCGCCATCGCCATCGTTGCTGTCACAGTAGAACCTGCTGCCGCCGGCGTCCAGGCTCTGGCGGCCCAGCGTGGACCTCTGACTGCCGCCACTCACGTACTTCCTCTTGGCGATGGGGTGCTGCCTCCGCAGGCGGGGCGGGCGACCTCCGGCGCCGTCGTCGTCGTCGTCGTCGCCACCTTTGCCGCAGCCGTCGTTCTGCACGATGAGGTAGCCCTTCTTGATGAGGTCGTTGATGATAGCGGCGTCGCGTTTGCTCGCCTCCTCCGCGCCGTCCACCTTCCGGACGGCGCTAGGGTGGACGCTCTTCGGTCGGGCGCGTTTGCCGCCGCTGCCGCCGCTTCCGTGTCCGTCGGCGTCTTCGTCTTCGTCGTCATCGTCGTCGTCGTGGCACTCCAGCTTGGGGATGCTCACGTACACCTTCTTGGGGCGCTTTGTGCCATCGATGTCTTTGCCGTCGTCGCCGCCGTCGTCCTCGTCGTCTTCGTCTTCGTCGTCGGCCGAGAAGCTGTGTCCGGTCGAGAGGCGCACGCCCCGAGCCCGTGGGGGGCGCCCGGTGGCCTGCGCCGGCCCGGCCGCCCCCGCGCCCTCCCCCCCCGCCGCCGCCGGCGGCGACCAGAACGTCGTAGAGAAGAACGACAGGACGACCGAGGAGGGCGACAGCGAGGCGAGCGTCGCGACCGTCTCCGCCGGCAGAGCCGCCACGCCCAGCCGCCGGTACAGGACCTCCTGCACCTCCTCGGCCAGCATCATCCGCGCGTCGCCCTTGCGTTCCGCCGGGCCCGCCGCCGCCACCGCCCTGGCTTCGACGAGCGGGGGGTCCTCGCCGTGGGTGTAACACGGGTTGTCGTACTCGTGGTACGACGCCTGCGGCTGCAGGAGCCGCGCCTTGGGGCTCGTGCCCAGCTGCCCGCCCAGGTCGACCAGCACGTGGTCGCCGGCCGCCCGCTCGAAGTCGCGGTCGCTGATCGCCGAGGATGCCGCGGCGCCGCCGCCGCCGCCGCCGCCGCGGTCGCTCCTCCGGGTGGACGCGGCGAGGTCCGGCTCGGAAGCGCAGAACGCGGAGCCGTGACGCAGCAGGGGCCGCAGGGACGGCGCGCGCCAGCCCGTCTCCTTGTAGACGAACCACACGTTGCCCGTCCACAGCAGCCAGTTGATGAAGCCGAACACCTGCGGGCGACGGCGGCGGGGGAAGCGTTTCGTTATGGACTCGGCGCGGGAACCGCGGCGCGCCGGCGCTTCCCGCGTCTCCGCCACGTGGCCACGATGGTGCCGCCCGAAGCCCAGAGCTCCGCGGCTCGTGTTTGCCGATCTCATCGGGAATCTCACAGGCCAAGAGTACTGTCTGTGAAAAAGAGCTTCAAAGCTTATCGGATTCCTTCAGTATAAATTGATTATAATTCTTCTGGACTTGAGTCCCGGGTAGTGCTTGGATGGGTGAACGCCATGGACAAAGCAGGTCGCCGCAATCTTTATTTTATTCAGAATCTTTATTTTTCTCTGAGGAATCCAATGAGCTGTGAAGCTCTTTTTCACAGATGTCCAGGAGTCACAGGCCTTACGGGGCTATGTGGTGGGCAGTAATTATGATAATAATATTTAACATTTATAAAGCGCCTTTCTACAAAGTACTCACAGCACTGTTCGCCACTATAAACAAAGAAAACGTTGGCCAGTGGGAGGACAAACTAAAAAGTAGCAGAGCAAATTTCGAAACCCAAAAGAAAAATTTTACGCATTTTTCGGAGAGGTTTAAACACCAAAGCGGAGAGCAGTACAGCAAAATCTAACGTTGTACTCTACTTCTATGCTTCTACATCCATGCTCCCCCCCCTCCAGGCCGACTCCAGCTGCCTCCACCAAACCGCACCGACCCGGCGTGCTGGGCCGCGGTCAAACGAGCCCCGTGCGAGCCGCTGACGGCACGGAGAGAGTGGGGGGGCGGAGAGAGAGGGGGGGGGGGGGCCCTGAGAGAGAGGGGGGGCCCTGAGAGAGAGAGGGGGGCCCTGAGAGAGAGGGGGGGCCCTGAGAGAGAGAGGGGGCCCTGAGAGAGAGGGGGGGCCCTGAGAGAGAGAGGGGGGCCCTGAGAGAGAGGGGTGGGCCCTGAGAGAGAGAGGGGGGCCCTGAGAGAGGGGGGGGCCTGAGAGAGAGGGGGGGTCCCTGAGAGAGAGGGGGGGCCCTGAGAGAGAGGGGGGCCCTGAGAGAGGGGGGGCCTGAGAGAGAGGGGGGGCCCTGAGAGAGAGGAGGGGGTCCTGAGAGAGGGGGGCCCTGAGAGAGAGGGGGGGGGGCCTGAGAAGGGATCGCCGCGTTGCCCGACTCACCGCCGCCACCACGAGGGAGGAGAGCGTCGGCGCCGACCTCCACTCGCACCGCGAGCGTCCCACGCCTCCCGTTCCTCCTCCTCCCCCTCCTCCTCCTCCCCCTCCTCCTGCCCCCCTCGCCGCCGCGGCCATCCCCGCCGGCAGGGGCTGGGGGGGGGCGGCCGCGGGGGGGTCCCTCCCGGCCGCCGCCGCCGCGGCGGAGGCTGCGCGGCACGCGGGCACCAGGGCCCCGAGGTGGGCCGGCTGCAGGGAGGCGCGCAGCTCAGCCAGGCTGGCGGCCCACAGGCACGAGGCGAGGAGCCAGAGCAGGGAGAGCGCCAGCGACACGGACACGTCCTGCGGGGAGTCGGGGGCGGGGAGTTAACGCGGCCGTGCGGCTCACAAATCGGAATGTTGAGAAGATTTATTTATCCCGGAGGAATCCGATGAGCCATGAAGCTCTTTTTTTTATTCCCCTTCCCGTAGACGTGTTCGGTCGTTGTCACAGATGTGCGTTTCGAGTCGCAAGCGCAAACACCGACGCTCGCCACCGACTCTGCCTCCTGAGTGCTGCGTGTGTACACACGCGCGTTCTCACGGCCTCCTTCGCTAGGTCGACTCAGCCCTCAATTGAGCACCTGGTGCGGTGTGTAAACATCGCCGCTGGTGAGACAAAGACGGCCTGGCGTGGTGCTGGCCACCCTCCCCCTCGTGTGCCGTGCCGGCCTTCTTAGGCGCTCGCCCCCAACAGTCTGTTCAAGGCTATACGGGGTGGATCTTTGCCTCCGCATTCGCGGTGCCCGCGGATGTGGCCTTGCTGTTCTCTCCGTCGCATCCTCTCACCGTCTCTCTCGCGCGCTGTCATCGGAGTTGCGTGCCTCTAAGCGTCAGTGCCAGCGCGCATTAAAAAATGCAGTCTGTGTCAAATCTGGTAAGGGCATTTAAACCTCTTGTCAACACCGATCGATTTACGTCCCACTTGTACGTATACGTGAGTACAAGTGGCATTACCGCCCGCGGTTATGTCAAATTTGGATGATTGCTTGCCAAGATGTTTACACCGCAAAGTATGTATATATTGAATTACAATGTGCGATACGCATTTAACGTGAATTAAAAAATATCCTCCGTTTACCCTTATAGGGTGGGTGAGTGAGTGGACGGGTGGGTGAGGGAGTGGATGGATTGAGGATGTTTATTGGTGGATCGGTGATTCTGCCATCCACCTACTCTCAGACAAAGCAAATGAATGGCTAATTGTCTTGCGACTGAATCTCTCAGTTGCTCTCCATGGGCTGTACGAAAGAAGGGGACCACGTTGCACGTTTAATATGCGGAAGAAAAATATAAAAAAATGGGGTTTGAACAAAGTTGAGTGCGTTGCAGATCAAAGTGTGTTTTAGTTCAAAATGCTCATTTTATTTTCTCGCTGTAGCAGCCAAGGCTGCATGAGCGCTGGGACTTCAGAGGCAGCAGCCTGAGGCCTTGGATATTGAGGGACCACTGCCAAGAATATTCGCTGCTTAATAACAGCTGAAATGCAAGGCTGAAGCACCACGACAAATCCCCGAGCTAATTTGGTCATAAAAGCCTCAGCATCACTTCGTGTCATTGCTACGAGCTACGTGAACAAATTCTTTATAGTGTTTCTTCACATTTACACGTTAACGCGTAGATTTACGCGATCGATATGATTCACGATTGTGTTTTCTTTTAGGTTACATTGCACAACCATACAATACACCATTTGGCCTTCATATCCCTCATTCATTGACTGAATATATCTTAATATATATCGAGGACGGCAGAGCTTAGGCAAAAATTTGGCGCCGAGGCTTCAAATCAATTTCCCGGCGCGTGATCACGGGCGCACGTGGGCACGTGGGCACGAGGGCACGTGGGCACGTGGCCACGTACGATCTTGGGGCCGCGGTTGTTGCGCAGGTAGTTGCGCTGGTAGAAGATGGTGGCGACGGTGGCGCAGAGGGAGTAGAGGAGCGACACCACCCCCACGGCGACGAGCAGCCGCGCCGACGGCACCACTCCGGCCAGGCCCGCCGGCAGCGCCGACGGCCGCCCAGCGTCCATGGCCACGGTCGCGCCGTCGCTCGCCAGACGCACGGGGAGGCCCGCGGGCACGCAGCCGGAGACCCGCGCCACCACCCCCAGCAGCCTGCGGGCGCCACAAACCGCACGCACGCAACACAACACAGACGTCGTGGTCCCCTGCCGCCCGCTCACGTAGCCCGGGGTGGGCTGGGTGGGCAGGAGCGGTTGAGACGGCGCTCGCTGCCGATGATCCAACCCAGGTTAGCGGAGTTGCAGTTGTGATGCGCTAACAGCTTGGCTACCGCTCCCTGCGCTCACACGCCAACCGTGCCAACCTCCGATTGGCACGGTTGGCTACGTGCGGTGCAAAAGAAGTTCAACATACATGCACACAGACACAAAGATCCCCCGTGTAGCCTTCACCGGGATGTTGGGGTAAGCGCTGTTAGCGTGCGCGGTGCCGCGTGCAAGTGGTGGCGCACTGGGCCACCTTTGTCTCGCCAGTGCTGCTGCTTCCACACTGCAGCGGGCACCAATCGTACATGAGTACCTGTTGACCTAGGCGAGGCCCAGGACTGGTTCGGATATCGCTCGATACTGATGTTTTAGCCGTGAGCTTGGGGCATCTGGTTCTCAGCGGAGCGCGCAAACGGCTGCGCCACCATTCCCCCACGCCAACCGAGGCGAGGCAGCCAGGCGGCTCAAGAGGTCAGAGTGCGAAGCCGGAGCAGCTGATCTATCCTGGGTTCGAATCGAGGGCAGCCGCTGGAGTCCCAAGTGATGCGAGTTGATGGCCTCAGCCTCGGTCATGACGGCACAAAACAACAAAGAACAAAACCGCCGTGACTTCACTTCGGTGCTGCGCTTAAATTTGGATAAATCCCAGCGCTGATGATGCCTGAAATATCGCTGGACAGTCGTGCGACGAATAGGGAAAGTGTTGCTCCCTCGATGTTAACTGCAAAGGTGCTCTGATCCTGGCAAATCTGCGCTCGACTTTTCGGCTGGCTCTTCTCCAACGTGAAGGAACACTCCAGGCGAGTCGTTATTTAAGTCATCAAAAAGTTGGCTCCCGTATGGTTAAAGGTTACTTTTTTTTTCACCAAAAAGGAAAACTAATCTTAAGATGAAAAAAAATGATGAATCTAAATTGAAGTGAAACTGGAAGTTTAAAAAATCAACCGGTGAAGTTGGGAAGGGGAAAATAAAAAAGTCTCAGATCTGAAATAGTTTTGACGTTTTCTGCGTGGCATTTGAAGAATAAGGCATTTAACCTGGCGCAGTGTGCTAGCGTGTCCCAGCCGGTTAAGCGGAGGCAACGGGGAATTGTTGCCAAGTAACAAAAAAAATCCACCTCAAAACATCTCGGGAGAACATTGTAAACAAACGAAAGAAACCAAAACCTCCTTCTAATTTCCGATCTCTGACTTTTAGCGAGCACAAAATGACCCCCCACCACCCCACCACCCCCGCTTTGATGGCCTCTGAATCGGCACCCGTTGGTGATTCGTGGTTGGTAACGCGGCCCCCTCGCGCGCCGTGCCAGCCCTAATGGGCGCTCTCCAGAAGCACTTTGCCACAGCGCTCTGAAGGGATCTGTGCGTGATGCATGAGTTTTGTGTGCATATGTAACAGTGGTGGGGTGAGTGGTCGTGTAGCGGTTAGCGCTACGGACCCGGGAGAGACCCGAGTTTCGATTCCCGCTCTGGCCAACACCGGTGACGATTGTCTGAACCGGTCCCGGGCCTCCCCTAGGTCGACTCAGCCTCAACGAGTACCTGGTGCGGTGTGTGAACGTCGCCAACTGCGGAGACAAAGGCGGAGTTATGCAGGGGACCTTCGGCTATGTATTTGTAGATGGTAATGGCAGATTTTGTTGTAGGTATTTGCTTATAAAAATCTAAACATAGATATTTAAAAAATAATACGCGAGCATTACAGAAGTGTTTTTCGGAAATACCCTCACCGCTTCAAAATTAAAATATGCAAATTTTAAATGCAATTAGTAAATAAATCGCTCAATGAGGTAAAAATGCAATTAGAGCTGGTGAATAGATGCAGTCGTGTGAACGTAGGAGTAAAATAATGAATTGGCTCATAAAAAACACACGCACACATGCATTGCACTGATGAATAACCCCGCGTATAAATACGCATATAAATACATGCACATTAATTTAAAACAGAAATTTATAAAAGAGATGGCGGGACAAATATCAGAGGGAACGCCTCCATGTTGCTGTCTCATTGCGCGGACTGTATAACTCCGCTCAGCCGCGCAGCTCAGGAAAGTAGTCCGTCGTTAACCGCTCAGAAAACTTCTTTATAGTGGTGCACGTTCCCAGTTATAGTGGTGCACGTTCCCAGTTATAGTGGTGCACGTTCCCCGTTATAGTGGTGCACGTTCCCAGTTATAGTGGTGCACGTTCCCCGTTATAGTGGTGCACGTTCCCAGTTATAGTGGTGCACGTTCCCCGTTATAGCGGTGCACGTTCCCCGTTATAGTGGTGCACGTTCCCAGTTATAGTGGTGCACGTTCCCCGTTATAGTGGTGCACGTTCCCCGTTATAGCGGTGCACGTTCCCCGTTATAACGGGATGCGCGTTCCACGTTACGACGGGATGCGCGTTCTGCGCGCTGTGAGAAAAGTTGTTCCCTGATGGCAGAACCACGTTGTGGCGACATCGCGTCGTCGTGAGAACACCGCCGCCACGCGCGGAGCGGCGAGGACTTCGTGGACGAGTGTCGGCACAACGAGCGCCGGTGGCCATGGTCCAAATAAACTCGGGGGAAAAAAAAACGTGCCGGTTGGAAGGAACTCCGAGCAACATTTGCTGTGAAGCAACTGCAGACTGCCTTCCAATCACCCCGTTCCCTCGCCACAGCCGTACGCTACGAGGATCACACAAAACATATTAAACGTCCTCCACGATTTTGTTCGATGAACATTTATATACTTATATATTTTAAATAAAACCCACACCCGCTGCAAGTTACTTACTTAATCGACCCAATATCCAAGCGGACACGCGTTGAGGCTGTTATAGGGGAGGGTCCAATGTTTCCCTGATTCAATTTCGATTCCACGTGGGCTACGAATGTTTTCATTGATTCACGTCGCACACACTGAGTTAACGCATTAGCCCTGCAGACACCAGAGGCCGCTACATCCACAACCATTTTTTAAAACGCCGGATTGGTAATTACCAATCGGCAAACTTGGAATTGTGCCGATTCATAGGATGTCTGTGAGTGGCAAGTGATGTCTGAGCTGGTCCTGGGCTTCCCCTAGGTCGACTCAGACTTAAATTGCCACCTGGTGCGGTGTGTAACTACGGGCAACTGTAGAGACAACGCTAAAGGCGGAGCGCCCTGACCCTGGACTCGCCATCCCTCCTCGTGCACCGTTCCGACCTCAACGTGGTGCTCGCAAAAAGAAATCCACCCCAACAGTCTATAAAGCTGTTTAAACTCTCTCTCTATATTTATATATATTTTACCAAGTAAGGCCCACTGAGTTAAATAGCTGTTTTTTTTTCTAGCGACCTGGCTATCACAAATGAAAGCTCAACGAAGCAGCGTATCACGTGGAAATGTATAGTAGCCAAATACTCTAAACGCGTGTTGATTTTAAATGTGGAGGGAAAATCCCGGAGGACCCGTAGAAAAAAAAACACGACCACGGAGAGAGAGAGAGAGAAACACGAAAACTCCAAATCCACGGGGTCACGGGGAGAGAGATGCCGCAAACTGCAATAATAAAGCAGGCGTCAGGGTCGGGATCGGACCCACGACCTCCTGTATACCAGGCGAGGTAGTTAACATCTCGTCCACGTGGCGCCCGGTCTACGCGTGACCACGTGGGGGATTCGCGCATTCATCTCGTGACCGCAAGCCGCCCTCCTTTCGATGAGTAATTGGAGGAGGAGAAAATTGACACGAGCACTTCGGCTCGCGATCAATCGTCGCTGGCCCAGGTCAGCGGAGAGATCCCTCGCCCCGATTTGGTGGCGGCATTCCCACCAAGAAGACAATTTAGATTAAAAATAAATCTCTCTGTCGTACTCGATGTTGAGATCGGCACTCCGCCCGGTCACCCGTCTCCTCTACCCCCCCCCTCTCCACCAGTGCCAAACACTCATTTAAGGCTGAGTCGACCTAGGAGAGGGCCACGGACATTAGTTTGAAAATGTCGCGCCACTGATGTTAGCCGCGTCCGAGAATTAATGAGGATGAACGAAGACAAAGATTCCCCGTATGGCCTCTAACAGACTGTTGGTGCTGTTAGCGAGTAGCACCTATGAAGGCGGCACTGTACACGAGGGGATAGGTGGCCAGCACCACGCCTGGCCGCCTTTGTCTCCCCAGTGGCGATGTTTACACACCGCACCGGGTACTTATTTGAGGCTGAGTCTTAGGGGAGGTCCGGGACCGGTTCAGATAATCGTCACCGTCGGTGTTGGCCGTGAGCGAGAATCGAACCCGGGTTGCCAGGTTCGTAGCGCAGCGTAGCGCGAACCTCGACACTATCGCTCCCCACAATCAGGCCAAACACACACACAGACACACACACAAACACACACACACAGACACACACAAACACACACACACACAGACACACACAGACACACAAACACAACAACAACAACAACCGCCATTCGCCACTAAGTGGCGGTGACGTCACCACGACGCTTGTGCCAGGCTATGTGCACCCTGAGGCCACGTGAAGTGTCGAACGCCCGCTGGCAGGAGGTCACGGGGCAGACCCAGGTGCCACGGGTCGACTGACTGAGATGACTGGCTGATGCACCACCTGTGCCCCCTACTGTGCCAACCTGCTGTGCTTTAGCCACCCGGCGTTCCGCTCGTTGTTCTGAGCGTCGCTCCTCCGCCCTCCGTTGTTGTTGGAGGGCGACTACCTCCAACTGCCCAGTAGCGTCCTTCACGAGCCTCCTCCACAGAGGCCGATCTTGACACCGCTGGTACCAGTCATCGGCAAGTCCACTCAGCTCCACGTCCTCCTGTACCACATCACTCCATCTCTTGTCTAGCCCGTGCCGCGCCCGCTTAGCCCCCTCAATCTGGCCGAACAAAAGCTGTTTCGGCATGCGGTGGCTGGGCATGCGGGCTACATGACCCAGCCATCGCAGCCTTCCCCGCCGGAGGAGCTCACCGATGGGACCTTGCCCAGATCTTTCAAGGATTTGTGAGCTCCTCACACAATCCAGTCTGGTTAAACCCAGGATGGATCGTAGGCAGGCCAGCCTAAATGTTTCTAACCAGCGAAGATGTTCCATTAGGGGGGTCCACGTTTCGCAAGCGTAGAGAAGGGAGGGAATGACCGTGGCCGAGAAGTCCTGAAGCTTAGTGCGGAGCGACAGACCTGGTAGCTTCCACACAGCGTTACACAACCGATGAAAAGATATTGCCGCTCGACTGATTCGGAGTGAGACCTCTGCAGTTAAACTGGAGCCAGTCATAAGCACACTGCCCAGGTATGGGAAACTCTCCACTCTCTCCACAACTGCCCCATCACCGATTGGGAGTTGTGGGGGTGGAGTGTCCGATGGTACAAAATACCCAGGCAGGTGCTTAGTTTTGGTGGGGCTGATGGTAAGGCCCCACCTCTTAGTGGCACGCTCCAGTCTCAGCAGCAGCGTCTCCAACTCCTCCTCTGAATGTGCAGCTATTACCAAATCATCAGCATATATAACGTGGTTGAGCAATAGGGAGCCATCCCTTGACCGCACCCGGGCATCGATCAGCCTCCCATTATATCTGTACCATATGGAGATTCCCCCGGTACAGCTATTGAAGGCTTCACGAACTACGTGGTCAAAATAGATGTTAAATAATGTGGGAGCCAGAGGACATCCCTGTCGCACCCCAAGGTGTACAGGGAATGGCTCTGACTCCCGGCTACGTAGTTTTACCCGGGCCCGCTCACCATCATGAAGGTCCTTAATGATCGTGAGCAGAGGGTCAGGTACTCCAAAAGCACGAAGAACAACCCAGAGCCCAGGCCTACTGATGGTATCATAGGCCTTGACCAGGTCAATAAAGCAGAGATGTAGGTCTTGTTGGAATTCCCTACACCTCTGCTGTAGCAGACGGACAGAAAATATGGCATCTGTGCAGGATCGCCCTTTCCTGAAACCGCATTGGGGCTCCGCAAGCCTCTCCTCAGCGTGCCTGGCAAGGCGATGTTGAATAATCCTTGCCAGGACCTTTCCCGGCACACTGAGGAGTGAGACGCCCCTGTAGTTGTTACAGTCTGTGCGGTCCCCTTTCTTAAAAAGGGGGACCACCAGGGCATCCTTCCAATCCTGCGGAACCCGTCCAGTGGTCCAGACTGTTGTTATGATGTCATATAGGGCAGTCTGTGCACAAACGCCGCCCTCCCTCAGCATTTCGCTTGGGAGATCATCTCTGCCCGCTGCCTTTCCTGGTCTCAGACTCCGGATCGCCTTCAGTACTTCCTCAACAGATGGCACCTCAGCCAGCCACTCACAGGGGGTAACTTCTTCCAATATTTGAGGCACCGCAGCCTCAGCAGACACAAACACACACAGACACAACAACAACAGCCGCCATTCGCCACTAAGTGGTGGTGAGACAGACACACAAACACACATACACAAACAGAAACACACACGTGCGGATGTACACGTCTCAAGTGGTAATGCGGTGTTATCCCCCTGAGATGACATGCAGCGCCACTCTGTCTTCATATCGCCACTCTGTGTGTTCATATCGCCACTCTGTGTGTTCATATCGCCACTCTGTGTCTTCATATCGCCACTCTGTGTCTTTATATCGTCACTCTGTCTTCATATCGCCGCCGCTATTACAAACGGCTCAATCCTGTTTTTGTTTGTGGGAGGAGGAAGGAGGACACCCCCCCCCCTTCACTCTCCAGATGTTTGTGAAATATTAAATCCTTGATCATGCGCCTGCCGGCTGGCCACGCCTCCAACCCAGCCTTCGTAGCCCCTCGCCCACCCTTCGCTCCCCACCATCAAGTTACTGGAACCTGGCGACTCTCCGCATCTCAGGAGGCCGATGCGGGAATGGGCCGTGCCGGAGCCGCTGAGCCGGCGGCCGCAGGGATCCTGGGGCGTGAATCCGGGTGCAGCGAGCTGGTGGCCTCAGCTCGGTCGTCGATGACTTGCACCGAGACACGGCAGATTCTCACGGAGATCCGCAGACTCCCATCAAGATCCACAGACTCACGTAGAGGCCCGTGGACTCACACAGAACAAGTTGCGATGAAACTGGTTTCTCAAGTGGAGTAAGGTGATGGTCTCACAACAGTGACCAGTGACTTACGCGGAGACCCACAGACTCACACGGTAACCCATGGACTCACATGGCTTACATGGAGGCCCATTGACTCACATAGAGACCCATTGACTCACACGGAAGACCCATATACTCACATAGAGACACACAGACTCACACGGAAGACCCATATACTCACATAGAGACACACAGACTCACACGGAAGACCCATATACTCACATAGAGACACACAGACTCACACGGAAGACCCATATACTCACATAGAGACACACAGACTCACACGGAAGACCCATATACTCACATAGAGACACACAGACTCACACGGAAGACCCATATACTCACATAGAGACACACAGACTCACACGGAAGACCCATTTACTCACATAGAGACACACAGACTCACACGGAAGACCCATATACTCACATAGAGACACACAGACTCACACGGAAGACCCATATACTCACATAGAGACACACAGACTCACACGGAAGACCCATTTACTCACATAGAGACACACAGACTCACACGGAAGACCCATATACTCACATAGAGACAGACAGACTCACACGGAAGACCCATATACTCACATAGAGACACACAGACTCACACGGAAGACCCATATACTCACATAGAGACACACAGACTCACACGGAAGACCCATATACTCACATAGAGACACACAGACTCACACGGAAGACCCATATACTCACATAGAGACACACAGACTCACACGGAAGACCCATTTACTCACATAGAGACACACAGACTCACACGGAAGACCCATTTACTCACATAGAGACACACAGACTCACACGGAAGACCCATATACTCACATAGAGACACACAGACTCACACGGAAGACCCATATACTCACATAGAGACACACAGACTCACACGGAAGACCCATTTACTCACATAGAGACACACAGACTCACACGGAAGACCCATATACTCACATAGAGACAGACAGACTCACACGGAAGACCCATATACTCACATAGAGACACACAGACTCACACGGAAGACCCATATACTCACATAGAGACACACAGACTCACACGGAAGACCCATATACTCACATAGAGACACACAGACTCACACGGGAGACCCATATACTCACATAGAGACACACAGACTCACACGGAAGACCCATATACTCACATAGAGACACACAGACTCACACGGAAGACCCATATACTCACATAGAGACACACAGACTCACACGGAAGACCCATATACTCACATAGAGACACACAGACTCACACGGAAGACCCATATACTCACATAGAGACACACAGACTCACACGGAAGACCCATATACTCACATAGAGACACACAGACTCACATAAGAGACCCACAGACTCACATGGTGACTCATAGACTCACAGAGACCAAGTTGTGATGAAATCGGGTTCTCAAGTGTGGGGAGTTGGTGATCACACGCGGGTCACCGTGGAGTGCACACATTCACACATTCACACATTTAAACAATCCCGCCGCTGCTGCTGTTGCACTCCCGCAGAGTCCACAAATTCCTCCCTCTGCATGTGTGTGAATCACAGTGAATGTATGTTGAACTTCTTACGCACCTTACGTAGCCAACCGTTGCCAGCGACCCGGAACACATTTCTATACCCAGCACAACAGCACGTAAAGTGTTCAAGCCCTCTCGCAATGGTCACTCCATGTTGACCTGCGCCCCAGAATATATTGCTACACCCAGCTTACCAGAATAGAGTTATTAAACATCTCACGATGACCGTGGCTATTCCAGTCAACCAGAGACCCGGAACGTATTTCCCTACCCGGCACACCACATTCAGTATGTGGGCGTTAGCATCTCGCCACTGCAGGGGTGCTGCGGTGGCCAGATGTTAACTACCTTGCCTAGTATACAGAAAGTCGTGAGTTCGATCCCAACCCTGACGCCTGTACATTTTAGAGAGTATTTGGCTGCTATACATTTCCACGTGATAAGCCAACTTCGTTGAGCTATCGTTTATGTTAGCCTTGTCGCTTCTGAACGAAAGAGCTCTGTAGCTCAGTGCGCCTTACCTGGGAACATAAAGATATGTTAAGGTAAATGGGTTAGGTCAGTACACAAACCTTTCGCATACCTGTCAACCCACATGGGCTACCCGCATTCTTGCACAGGGAGATTTAAGTTTTCAGGTCCATGCGGTGAAAAGCCGTTTTAGTACGGGCAAAAACAATGTTTGTGTCTATTTGTTTGTGTTTCTCCCTTGTGATGAGACTTTGTGGGGTGAACGTTGAGCTTTTTAACGGCACGGGGTGACCCATAAGGTCTGAAATTGTCTGTAATAAGGTAAGGCACTGACAAGGGGTTGACAGGGATGCCCTCGCTACGGCCGCGGCTACTGCTACTCGTGTCGCGCGCACATCCTCCTGACGCAGCGTTGCCAGGCAGAGACCCCACCAGGCAAATCCGGGAGCGACATTGACAGATGACAGAGATGAGAGAGATGAGAGAGACACAGATCTGTGAATCCGTGATCGTCGGCAGGAGGGCACCCACCGAAATGGGTACTGGATGGGCACGTGGACATCTCCTAGGCGCTCCGAGCTGTTCCCGCACGGCAGCTGGAAGAGCAGCTCCCCGTGGTAGCCGCAGCATGTCGCAAAGGCGAGGATGGCAAAAATCTGACGGAAGAAGAGGTAGGAGGAGGAGGGGGAGGAGGAGGAATAAGTGACAAAGAGACAACGCTTCGATTGTTGTCGGCCGCCCTGGTTACTTGACCACACGGCACTTCCTACTCCATTCACCACAACTCCCCGCCTCCCCTCCTCCGCAACCTCCGACTAGGACGGGTTGGCCACGTACGACACGAAAGAAGCTCAACATGCACCCCCACCCGCCCGCGCTCCCCAGGAATGATGCCGATGCTGATTGGCAGAGTGAACCTCCAACTGGGTTCAGGGGCCCCGGGCGAGCGTAGACAGCCGCGTTCAACCTCTCGGCACAGGGGGCTCTGCCGGGAGGTGGCTAGCACCTGGAGCGACCCACCACCGCACACTGACATTGAGATGACACGGAGATGTCGACGGTTGTCCGGCTTCCTTAAAATCCATCTGGTTATCGATCCGAATAACTCTAGTTTCAGGTTTGTTGTTGATGTCACAAGTAATTGAAAGTAATCCGATAATTAGAAAAATAAATAAATTCCAATTCTGGATGAAGTGCTTCCCTACGCTGCTGTTGTCACAATCGGAATCTTTATTTTGACAGGAGGAGGAATCCGATGAGCTATGAAGCTCTTTTTCACAAATGTCTAGTAGCGGGGGGGGGGGGGGGGGGTCAGAAAGTTACAAGGACATGTGCCCACTCTGTATATGGGTGCAATTATGTAAAGCTATTCATACTTTGTGATACATTACTTGCATTGCCTTTGTACTATTCGCATTTTGGTGGTCTCTGGTCGAACACTGCCGGGGAGACAAAGCCATGAAGAAGCCTGTCTCTGTGTATGCCAATCAGTTTCAAAGTCAATCAGAGCGTGTTTGTTTTATGTATGTTTTTTTCTTTCCACAAGCACGTGTGGTTAATGTAGACTTGATGCCTTGCAACAGGTGTGTCCATTTGGTGTGTGGACATCAGAATGCTGCTGCTTACGCGAACGCCATTTCGTGAGGACGTCACACCCGTTCTCTTGAATTCATTATAAGGCCCTGCTATTGACCTACAACGCTGTCAATGGGTTAGCCCACGCATTGCTTTCAGGAACTGATCCACTTATATACACCACCAATGAGGTCCTTCAGATCTTCTAATCTCCTTTTTAGTATCCCGAGGTCAAAGCCACGTACCTGGGGGTGATCGGGATTTTGCCAGTACAGCCCCAAGACTATGGAACGCGTTACCTCTGACAATTAGACGACGCGAATCTCCGGTGCTATTTAAATCTCTGCCTTTACCACGTAGCTGTGTGCGTGTACGCTGCTGGCTCGGTCTCACGTCCCTGCTTCCAGACACGGCGACGCCTTGGGATCATTGTATGAGATACGCCTTCACAAATGTAAATTGTTATTATCGTTAACACCTGTTTTATTGCCATAAAGAGTGAAGTCTATTCTCATCCCCCCTCACCCCACCTGTCATCAACAGGGAATCTCTCTCGCTGCTGCCAAGATGGGGGATAACAAATAAAACAACAAATTGAAACCTTTGCAAGGAATCACGTCTGCATTAGCCACATATACTTGTGGTGAATATGCAGACAAAACGACATGCTCTGACAGTATGTGCATTGTCTTTAAAACTGATTGAAACTGATTTTTTTTAGAGCCTCGTCTCAAACAGCGTTAGACCAGAGGACGCCAAAAGGCGAACAGCACAAAGACCATGCCACGATCAGGGCATTGAGAGCTCGGTGTGGACCAATCAGTTTCAAAGACAACGCACATACTGTAAGAGCATGTTGCTTCGTTTGCATGTTCACCACAAGTATAAGTGGCTAAATTTCGATTTAAAGCTTTTGTGACTGCAATGATTCATCTTCTTTGGTTCTTTCGGTAAAGTCACGTAGAATGAGAATAAAATAATAAATTGATAAAATAAAATAACACAATAATATTCTCATTATAAGTGGCTAATGCAGACGTGATTCCTTGCTAAGGTTTCAGTTTGTAGTTTTAACATCTCAACAGCTGTTTCATTGCCAGAAAGGGGAAGACCCTATTATCATAATGTAATACTTGCAAAGGAGGTCTCGTGAAATAAAAAAAATAAATGTACAGAAAATCCCCGAGCATCGGTGCTGGGGAACCCATCAGCGAGACGATGTCGCTACAGCGGTGAGCGCCACTGCAACATCGCCCCTGACGGCATCGCGTGTTCGGGGGGGGGGTGGTGAGGAGGTGGCGGGGGGCCTCCTGATGGGACCGACAGGTTGCCCATTATCGGGGGGGGGGGGGCCTTGGCAAGATGGGTTCTACCCATAACCTCTCGTTTCCCAGTCAGCCCAGTTAATGAAAAAAAAAACCCACAGCGTCGCACCTTGACACGGATACACACACAGCAGACAAAGGTCTCGTCCTCGCCGGGGTAGCCTCCAGCAGGCTTGCTGGGGCAAGTGCTGTAACCGAGCAGCAGCTATAGGAAGGAGCGGCACGGCACACGAGGCGTGTGTGGCTGTGTGTGTGGGTCTGCCCAGCGGCGATGTTTTCACATCGCAGCCGGCACTCATTGTGGGGCCGAGTCGACCCAGGAGGAGCCGTTTAGATGTCGCCACGTACTGCACTCAGTGCACCGCGCAGTGAACCACCGCTCCCCAGTCCTCTAAGCCAGTGGTTCTTAATCTTCTTTACCTGGGGTGCATGCTGCACCCCTCTGGGGGTGCGAGATGCCCTCTCTGTGGGTGCGAGACATGGGCAGATTTCATTTTAGAAGGTAAATAATCGAAAAACAAATTAGGCACGGGCACGTAGGTGTACAACTTACTTTGTTTCATCAAACCGCTGCGTATTTATTGGCATTATAAAATGCTGTTACGATTGGGAACTTAAACGGGTGCAAGGCTGCGGTAAAGGTATAGAACCGCTGCTCTCAACAAAGATAAAGATGCCAGCGGTGCCAGGATCCTGGTACTGGGACGTTGCCGTCAACGCAAGAGTCACGCGGATTCCCAAGCGCACTAAGGTGACCGACAGCTGCGCGAAAGCAAGAAGACATTGACAAACGTAAGTTAGGCTTTTTTGTAATGAAAGGCAGCTTTCAGAGCCCTGAGAGTCAAAACCTCGTGGGCTGATTGGCCACAGTGGCACCCCCCCCCTCCGTCGTGCGTGTTCTACGTCTCGTTCTGAGTGACGTCCGGCCGACTTACTCGTGGCCTCTACCCCGTACCGCGAACGAAGTTGAAACAACGGCGCTGCCTTACAATCTTTTTTTTGTACCGAGTGAAAAATCGTGATCGTTGCAATGATTCCTGTAACTTGAAATGTGATGCATCTCAGTCAGTGGCGTCGCTAGGGTTGGTGTCACCAGTGCGTAACTCACGGTGTCACCCCTCATGGACCTCCTCCGCTCGTACCAGACCATTACAGAACCCTTAGTCAGGTTTTTTGTACTAATGTTACTCGTACATCCTAATTTCCGTATATCACTGATGTAATGGTCATAGTGGTGACATAAACAACGAGCAAAATCTAAATGACACCTTTAAATTACAATATTTCCTTTAATTACTACTTCAGTCTAAAAAATGTTATTGATATAGGTTCACAAATACTAATTACCACAACATTGTAGCTAAAACGCCAGAAAATTTTACAAAATCAGCGACTATAAAAACACGAGCAGCGACAAACACAACAGCGCGTGCTTGTCGCGCGTGCGGACGAAACCACGTGACTCGAAGCGTCACTGGAGTTGGGTAACAATGAGACCTCTGACCGGAGCGCATTAGAAGGTTCAAAAACGTAAATTAGCACAGAGTTTTAGCCTTGCAGGTATATTGATACGGTACGGGTAAGCTGGGCTTACGAAAAATGTTTTTGTTGTTGTAACTAACTGAGGGATATTTTTTTTATAAAAAATATATTAAATTTATGCTGAAACATGCACACAAATGATAGAGACAGTCATTTTTGTGTCATCCCCACTGATGGTGTCACCCGGGGCGGCCCGCAACCCCCTGACTGACGCCACTACTCTCGGGGAAGCTATTTCACCATTTGCGTTTTTATGCCTCATTTGCAATACGTTCTCTAATCGTAATCCTCACGTCAGTGAAATATTGAAACGATAATTTTGTAATATGCTCTACATCACGTGATTTGCTGTCCTTTTCCTGTTCATTATGTAATAATTTTTATTTATTTTGCGCGTTGTGTTTGACCAGGGAACCGGTGCTTTCGTCGGTGACCACCCCCCCACCCCCCCCCCCCCCGATTCAAGGGCAGCTTCTTAGCTCACATGGTACTTCAAAATAAACTCAACTATAACAAACTGAACCAAGTTCCGTGAGAGAATGACATCGCGAAAGGAAACCGCGCGTCGTCAGTCGACCACTGGGTTACAGCATAAACAACAAAGCCTGGCCACAAAGCTCCTCGTCAGGGCCGGACGAGACGATCCGTTGACCCATCGGTTCATCTATGCCAGCGAAATGTTGACACAACTAACCTGCTGCCATAAATGCACGCGAAAGAAGGAGTTGGGTGAGAGAGCCGGGATTGTGTGGCCACTCTCCTCCGACTGTGGAGTGGCTCTGCTGGGTGTTTTTTTTTTAGTTATCGGTGTATCCTTCCACTGGAATCTCCCGGCGTTATTAACTTTTTGCAAAATCCCCGCAGGGCTCTCGATACGATGCAGAGAGAAAGAGAGAGACGCGGAGAGAGAGGGAGGGAGAGGGGGAGCATTGAAGTGGCTATGCGGTCTCATCTCCTGGGGCCGTTCACCCATGCGTGGGTTGTAGGTCAGTGAGGGAGAGATGCTCTTGGCAAAGACAAAGCGGGGGAGCGGTGGTGTAGTGGTCAACGCTACGCTGTGCTACGAACCCGGCGACCCGAGTTCGAATCCCGTTCACGGCCAACACCGGTGACGATTATGGATGATATTGGTCGCGAAAGCCTACGGCTTACACTGATCGGTGACGATTATCCGAATTGGTTCAGCGCCTTCCCTAGGTCTAGGTCGACTCAGC